GAAAGAGTGGTATCGGTGCATCCCTATAAATGACCAAAACAAAGTACATGGCACTCTATTCACTCTGGACCTACAGTTCATTTAAATAAAAAATTTGATTTTTAAGGAAAATAATGCAAAAATTTTACAGTAGTTTTCTGTTATTTTAAAGGTGACCTATTATGCAAAAATCACTTTTATAAGGTGTTTGAACACAGTTGTGTGGCCGCAGTGGTTGAAAACAACCAGCATATAATAAAATATTATTTAAAAAAAAAATGTATAATAAAAATCCACCCACTAATTTTTTTATAATCCCAATAAATCATAAACAGTCTGTCTCAACACGCGATTCCAGATTTCTTCCTACCTTGATGTCATCGTAGGGAGAAATCCTGCCCATTTGTATGACGCTCTTAGATGGCCTGAGGGTGAGTAAATTAACAGCAAATTTTTGTTTTGGGGTGAACTATCCCTTTAAGTATTATTCCATTAATGAAAAATTATTTTCATGTTTTATACAGAACAATTACTATATTATTCAAACAATATTTTTTTCCTTTTTTGTAAATTATGTACAAACTTCGGTAAAATTACAAAAAATAATCTGTAATTAAATACATTATTTTATTGTATTAAAGGTTTATGTTCATACTAACAATTGAATGTTCTTCTTTGTAAAATGTAAAATCAGTTTAAACTTAACTTAAAATATTAATTTCTATCAGTGTGAACTGACCACCACACAGAATATGAAGAATATCAAAAACCTTAGGAGCCAGCTGTCTACAGCAGTCCTTAAGGTACCAGCACAATAACACTCACCAAAATATCATCTAATTATTGTCATCGATAAAATCCCAGAAAATATCAAGATATATTATTATTATATTATTTTTTGTCTATATCGCACACCCCTAATGATAACGTAACTTATGTTGGCAAACAGAAAAAGTATTCATAAATATAGATGCAAAGATGTAATTATTGGGGCCAAGCACATCAGAAGCAAAGTGACAAAATAAGCAAGCATGGCAGGAGACATCAGAACAGTAGAATAAAAAGCTTATTTTTCAACATCTGCTTTTACTGTCATTCACTCAGGAATATTATTGAAACTAATTTAATGATACGTATAAAATAATACTAAAACCATTGAAAACACCAATATTCTCTCCCTTTTTGGCAAACTGTCATTGAGAGTAACAAAGGACATTCAGTGTAACAGAATTTGACGTAAAAATTATAGTTTTTCTGACCTGTACCAACCCAACATGTCAACTTCTGGGTCAACCAACGATCTGAGTCTTGGTAGGACTTGATCGACAATGGCAGACTTAGTAGCAGATGTAATGGCATTTATTTTTTATTTTTTTAGTTTGGTGCCACAAGTGTTGCAGAAATTACATTTACATTTAGTCATTTAGCAGACGCTTTTATCCAAAGCGACTTACAAAAAAAAGAAAAAAGAAGATAAATATAGATAAAGTAGAATTAAAATAGAATAGAAAGTGTTAGAGTTAGAGGGTCAAATAAAGGTGGAACAGATGTGTTTTTAGTCGTTTCTTGAAGATGGTTAAGGACTCGATTTTCGATTCGAAATTACACCATATACCTGATAAATGTAAGCTGGGTAAGGGGTCTGGACTTCTCCAGCCCCATAAGCAAACACTCAAACATGGAAATAACCTTCCTTTACGGATGAACGCAATGAGCTCCTTCAGTTAGGGAAAGGTCAGTGAGTCATGGGTATACAGCAGGGACTCCACTGACCTCATCCACCACAGCGCAAACAGCGGAAACAGAAAGAGGCACATGTGTTTCAGTCTGTGTGCCACCTCATGCAAGTGAACCACTGAAAACACTAAAGGTAGAGAAGATTACTGGAAGAAAAGTAAGCTCTTCTTAAAGCGACTCCTTCTCAGAAATACAGAATGCCCTGCTTTTCTTTCTTGTGAGAAACATAAATGAAGACATTTTGATAAATGTGTTTTTGTTGTTCATACAATTGAAGTCAATGGAAAACAAATCTGTTTGGTTAACTAACATTCTTCAAAATATCTTCTTTTGTGCAAAGTGATCTCCTCTTGAAGTGACTCCTGAGATATATAGAAAGCCATCAATTTATTTCTTGTGTGGAACATAAAAACAATATATCTTAAGAAATTTGCGTTTTATTTTGAGTAACAAAAAAAGCTTCCAGACAGACCTACACTTAAAAAAAATAATAAAATAAAATAAAAAAAATCTAAATGTCAAAATTATAATTGCAGATGACTTTAAATCAACAATAAGGTATAATGAACAATAAATTAAGGAATAAGAGGTGAATTAAACTCATTTCCTCAATCATGTGAAATATAATCACTCTCTCTTTCTCAATCACGTGAATGCTTTTTAGCTTTGTTTCTCTTCTGGTGTCAACAGGTTTTTACAGTTCATTTTACTTGTTCATTTTCCTTTTGATGTATTGAGGTCTTAGTATTAATTTATATTTCTATGCTGACACTTATTGGGCAATAATTACAACTTCATCTGGGCTTTTTCTCTCCACTCAGTCTGCTGGGTTCACTGGGTTTTTCATTCCTGATTATTACACTAAATCCTATGAAACTATTCTTAAGAAAAAGAAGAAAAATCACACTTTGATTTTCCTCATGCTTTTAAACATGTAGATAAGGTAATAGATCAATAAATGGATATAGTTCCCCCTCTGAGGAAACACAGAGAGATTCACCTTGCATTCAAAACTCTAGCCTGAGGACAAACTCATTTACATGCAGGCAAATTCTCTCAATTCTAGCTGAAGATCATTTTCTTGCAGTATCAATGCTGCTACTTTCATCTTCCTTGAACCCACCATGCTTCTGACTGATTCTCAGACATCAGCTTTGCTCGAATTGAGGGGGGGATGCGGGGGGATGGCATCCCCCTGGTTGAAAAAAATGACAAAAAGCATCCCCTCAGTAAAACCACCACCCCCCTTAGCATCCCCTGTGGATTAATAATGTTTATTATGTCAAATTTATCATGCAAATAAAATGTTAATTTTACTCTACTTAAGATAATTCACAAATAATGGCGATTGGCCAATAGAACTCGTTTCTGTAACAAGATGCGCACAAGCGGAAGCAAGTTTTCGTCATGTTTCGTGCAAAATGGTTCAAGCGCAATGTTTGAATTTCTTTAAA